AAGGGATTTGGCAGGTGTGATTTGAGTTAAGGCTCTTGAGATGGAAAAATTATACCGTATTATCCAGGTGGTTCCAATGTAATCACAAGTGTTCTTACAGGAAGGAGGCAGGAGCATCAGAGTAGGAGGAGATGTGACAATTGTGGGAGCGGGGGGGGCAGGGGAAACAGGGAGTGGAGATTGGAAGGCATTACACTACTGGCTTTAAAGATAGGGGATGGGGCCACGAGCCAAGGAATGCAAATGGCCTCCAGAATCCAGAAAAGGCAAGGAAATGAACTCTCCCCTAGAGTCTGCAGAAGGAACACACTACTGCTCACAGCTGGATTTTAAGCTTTTGACTTTCAAAACTGTAAGATAATAAATTTGTGTGGTTTTACACGCCATGAAGTTTTTGGTCAGTAGGAAACAATACAATCATGGAAACACAGTCACCTCTTATCCCACTACTGATAATTAGAGTTTGTTATTAGAGCCCACCATTAGTTGTACAACAGCATCTTTGGCTACTTTTTGAATCTATTATCCAATGCCATTTCACCCAGATGTGAGCCATTTAGCTCTCCTCCACTGGCATGGATCACCGAGCACCAGCTGTTTCAGAAAGACCAATGGACAAAATATAGAGATCATGTAGTCCCGACTCGTTCCCAGACTGGTTGTTTGAATCCTTCTAGATCCAATACACTTTTCTTTAGGATTTCCTGAGAGGGGGATGAGATGTCTTCTGCTTCCACTGATAGAAATACTTCTCATTTCAAAACACTTAGAATTAAAGAGTTGTCTAAGAGCTAGAATTGCTTTAGCTATAATTTTTTTATTCTGTCCTTGGTAAACGTGAAAATTAAGAAACAGGATAATTAATAAATAAGATATGTATGCTTTTTATTAGGTTTTTCCTTTTTCTTTTTTTGTTTTTATAAATTTATAGAATAAATGGGAGATTTTGTTACATGTATATAAATGTGTAGTGATCAAGTCAGTGTATTTGATGTGTCCATCACTCAAGTGCAATATATTTTGTTAAGTATAGTCACACTACTCTGCTATCAAACATTAAATTTATTCCTTCTGTCATACTGTATGTTTGCACCCTTTAGCCCAGTTCCTTTCCTCCTCCCACTCTCACCCTTCCCAGTCTCTGTTATCTATCTTTCCACTCTTTACCTTCATATGATCAAATGTGTTAGCTCCCACATATAAGTGAGAACATGTCGTATTTGTCTTTTTTGTACTTGGCTTATTTCACTTAAGATGACCTTCAGTTCCATACAGCATCCACATTGCTGCAAATGACATGATATCATTATTTTGGAAGAATCCTAAAATTCATATGGAACCAAAAAAGAGTTGGAATAGCCAAAGCAATCCTGAGCAAAAAGAACAAAGCTGGAGGCATCATATTATCTAACTTATAATACATTGCAGGGCTATACTATACTAACCAAAGCAGCACGGTGTTGGTATAAAAATAGACACACAGACCAATGTAACTGAATGAAGAATCCAGGAACAAAGCCATATAGTTACAGCCAACTGATCTTCAACAAAGCAGATAAGAACTTATACCGGGGAAAGAACACCCTCTCCAATAAATGACACTGGGAAAATTGGATAGTCACATGCAGAAGAAACTGAATCCCTCTCTCTCACCATATAAAAAATTCAATTCAAAATAGATTAAAGACTTAAACAAAAAACTTGAAATGATAAAAATACTGGAAGAAAACCTAGAGGAAACTCTCTTGGACATTGCTCTAGGCAAAGAATTTATGACTAAGATCTGAAAAGCAACAGAAACAAAAATAGACAAATGGGACTATCTTAAACTAAAAAGCTTCTGCACAGCAGAGGAAACACTCAACAAAATGAAGAGACAACCTGTTGAATGGGAGAAAATATTTGCAAATTATTTATCTGCCAGGAGACTAGTAACCAAAATATACAAGAAACTCAAACAACTCAACAGGACAAAAGCAAATAACCTCATTAGAATGTGGGCAAAAGACATGACTAGACATTTCTCAAAGGAAGACAGAGAAACGGCCAATAAGCATATGAAAAACTCCTCGACATCACTAATTGTCAGAGAAATGCAACTCAAAATGACAACAGGATATTATCTTTCCCCAGCCAGAATGGCTATTATTAAAAAGACCCCCCCCAAAAAAAAAAATAATAACAGACGTTGATGAGGATGTGGAGAAAAGGAAACTCAAACTTTGCTGATGGGAATGGAAACTAGTAGAGCCACTATGAAAAACAGTACACAGACTTCTCAAAAAATGAAAAACAGAATTACCATTGGATTCAGCATTCCCACTACTGAGTGTCTATCCAAGGAAAAGAAATCAACATATCAAAGGGATACCTGCACTCGCCTGTTTACTGCAACGTTATTCACCACAGCAAAGATATGGAATCAACCCACGTGTCCCTCGACTGATGAATGGGTCAAGAAAATGTGATGGATATATATGCAATGGAATTTTATTCAGCCATAAAAAAATGAAATCAGGTTTTTCTTTCTTAAATGACTTCATTTCCCCCATCTTTACTATTTTCTTAGAAGTTTATCTGAATCTTTACCTATTTTGGATGTTATTCTGTTTTATATTCTGTCTGCCTATGTCTTAAAATTTGGAGCCATAAACCTGCTAGACAAAGTATACTAACCTTTCTTAACAGCAATGCAAAACATTTGTAAAACTTGGCTATGATCAAAGGAGTAAGAAGATGAGACAGAGAGGAAGGAGTTCCTATTTAAACTCTGGTTCTAGCTCTTGCCGTGTAACCTCAGTCAAATCACATCACCTCTCTGGGACTCTGTGGCATCATCTATAAAATAAGGAGCTTGGACTAAATATCCGGATACAGTCTAAAGTGTCCTAAAATAGCAGCATGAGGTATTTGGGTAATTCTATTGAGAAAGTAATCACTACTTGCTGGAACAATTGATAACTACTACCCAGTAGCTCTTCTACAAAGATAGCTGGCGGCATTGAGGCTTGATTGGATTTTTTGCAATCTGTGATTCCTGATGAAGCAAAGCTCAGGGCAGGAAAAGCCTGCGGTACCTTACAGGTACATTGAGTAGCACAGATTTCTGGGGGCTAATGGATGAAGACAGATGGGGGAGTAGAGAGGACAAATGGTGGGCCTGGAACACTGACACTGTGCAGAGCCCCTGACAGTTTCTGAAGGGCTCTAGTGATCTCTTCCCTACACTACTATTAAGGGAGTCCACTAGCACAGGAATTGTACTCATTCATGGCCCTTGGCAAGCTGTGTCATTCATCTCAGTATCACCAGTTCCCAGGCACAATAATCACCATTTAATAGTTTGCTCACAACATATGTGTTGGGTGACTGAATGAAGAACTTGCAATTAGCCTTTCTCATCTCAACTCTTCCCTGAGGGCTGTGTGCTGGGGGTGTCCTTTACATCACGTCTTGCATAAATGGGGACCCTTGGAGTTAGGAAAACAGCGGCTCTGCCTCCACCCAAGGGAGCAGTTCTGTCTCAGGAAATTGCACTCCTGGAATTTTCTCGACAGGAGATAATAAAAGCCTGAACTACTGGTAGCAGTGGGAATGGAAAGGAGAAAATAAGTGATTTATTTTAGAGTGGTTTGGGAGACACACAAAAATACTTTTGACTAGCCAAAGTAAAATCTTAACCTGATTTCTTTCCGATTTTCCTTTGGAGTGATTCATAAAAATCTGTTACATAAAAATGGAAGACTTGTCATGTATCTCCTGTTAAGTACAAGTCATTTTTATTGTGAACCTCATCCTCTGCCAGAAAAGTATATTGACCTCATTTTTCTACTTCAGAATCTGGTACTTCAGTCAATATCACACAATCTAGAGCAATATTTTAAGAGAAAGACAACAGTAAGTCCCAAGGAATTCTCTTTATCATTTTTTAAATATAGAAGCGTGTTTTTGAGTCCTATCTTAGAGAAACATTTGCTAAAATTGCACTGACCACCTTTATTTTGATCACTTGTTTTCCAAATATAATTTAAGTGATGCAGAGAACTAATGCAAAGTAGAAGGCATTTTGATTGCTGAAACAAACATTGATTCACATGGAATATTTTGAAGCAATGCTCTTTCTATTAATATCTAAGTTTCCATTGCATTTTTTGGGAATGCACTTAAAAAAACCCAACCACTATAATCTTTCTGGAATTTAGCATATACATAAAGTAGTAAATAAAATCCTTCCAGTTGTAAAATATCAGATGATTAGTATTTACCGAAACAGACCAAAAAGTTATTGAGGTATGTGGTACAAATTTTGTTTAATATCTAACATAAAAGTACAGATAGCTAGCCAAAAAAAAGTCTCTAGATTTATATTTTCTATTTAAGTGTATCACCTTGGGTATTAAACATGCTGCTAGCTATCTCTTAATGAGCACCTGAGCTGTCATTTTTAATAACAGACTGACATTTATTATCTATAGGTTGATATTTCCCTGAAAATCATTTGTGAATCTCAAGTTAATATAGTTAAGAATAGAAACTGACTATTCCATTTACTAAAATAGTATTATTTTATAATACTTGGCAGAATATTATAAAAAATAACATGAATATATATTCATAATAAAAAGTCAACATATGCCAAAATGCAGACATTCTCAATATGCAGCAGAACTTTACGCAAAATCTAAATAATGCATTTCAGTTGCTCATTGTTTAAAAAGGTCATTTGGTCCACTAAAGCCGTAAGAGGAAAAAACACAGATCCAAGAATATAATAAAACAAAACAAACATCTAGGCCACTCTAATTTTGGTTATTTCCCAATTTAAAACAAGGCATGAGAGATGAATACCATAAAAATTCAAATCACATAATTCATCTAAGTACATGCACCATTAAAATATAATGCAAGTAAGTATGTAATAGCCTACTGTAATTCATAGGTTCCAGTATTGTGGAAATCCTACTTTATTTTTAAATAATGAATTTTTTTAAAAACAATACCTCTTCCACAAAGCTGTCTTTCTTCTCTAACATTTCTCGTAATGTCTGAAGAATTTTAATGCACAGTTTTTCTTCTTTCTCCATTAGTTTCTTTGTATGATTAATCAACCTTAAAGCAAAACATTAAACCTTTAGAAAGACAGTGATTTCTCTTCAAGCTATATACAAACATCAAAGGCTGTAGGGGAAAAAAATCACACCATTATTTGAGAATATGAAGTAAACCAGTTACATGTTTTCAAAAGTTTTAAGATTACACTTCAGCTTATAAATTTTGTATTACAACACATTATTTTTGTTTTACAGGTAGTATATCTCAGGGCTTCTCAAACTCACTCAGGTGGCATTCTTTTAGTGGGATACAATACTCTGAGAAACAATGAAATACTAATATTCTCACCCCAATATATGAACTAAAACAAATGTATTAGTACAGAAATATAAATATTTATATATTACATTTTATTATGTTATGTTACACTATATTATTTTTATGTACTGTATGACATTAAGCATACAGTAGCAGTGGCTGTATACAACTCTGCAATCTTAATATAACAGGCTGCTTTCCAGTTTCCATTCATAATAATATGCTATTTTTCACTGCCAGGGTTCGGTAGAAACAAGCAGTTTTTTTATTAAAAGCAAAAAACAAAACAAAAAAAGTGACATCAAGGCAATCTATCCATTTACTAGCTTTGGTATAATTTGGGCAAAAACTGCCATCATTTTAATCAAGTGGTACACTGTGCACTGGTGCTCTATTAGAAGAGCTTCAGGATCACCATCCCCAAGAACTTAAAAGCAAATAAATTTTCATTATCAGAATTGAGCTTATATAGCTATATATATAGCATATATAGCTCATGTTGTTAAACAGCTGATCCTCAAAATGACCCTGTGAGATGTCTTCCTCAAATGATCCAATTTCAGTGACATAACATAAGTACTGTGGGACATAACCCTGGGGAAAAAGTGAACTTTCACTGGTTAATGGCTAGCAAGTGCTTATCAGGTGTCAGGGTCAAGTGTAAGGACAGCCCAGGGACTCTCCTAAATTATCCTCACACCAAGCCTATGAGACAGGTTCAGACTAATTTTGCTCATGACAGAACAGAGGCCCAGGGAGATACAGCAACTTACCTCTAGTTACATAAATTGTTAAGTGGTGAGACCCACAAATGCACTCAGGTCCATCTGACCTCAGCCCAAATTCTTAAGAACGACTCTGTGGTGACAGGACTCAGGTCACTGATCTCCTGAGTCTCAGGGGTCTTGTGCAGAGTCCCCACACATGCTAGGCTACACACAGCCCCCTGAATGAGCAAGTGTCACAACAGAAGCATTGGCAAATGCTGTGAACCAGACTTGAAACCACTTCATTCTGCTGGGGGCAGTTACCTAGGGCTGATCAAACAAGGTTTCAGCGAAGAGACAGCATGCAACTAACGAAGATTTCACCTGTCAAGGAAGGCTCGGGAGAGAAGACATCCCTGCAAAGGGAATGGTATGAACACAGGGCAGAGGCAGAAACCTGGCAGCATGTCCAGGAAATGAGAAGCATGCCAATTGCCCACTGACACTTAAAGACCTGGAAGAGGAAAGTGTAAGAGATGTGGTTTGGAAAGAAGGGGCTGGAATATTAACCTCAAGAGTCTTGAATGTTTTCTAGAGAAAATAGGGAACCACTGTTCTAAAGGACCTAAATGCCTCTTCCCACTGTGAGAAAGAGACCAACGAGGGCAGCGGGAAAGATGAAGCAGAGGAGACAGAGCAAGGCGAGAGAGCAGTGGCAGAGGTCGGGTGAGGACATAGGAAGCAACAGAGAAGACCCATAGCAGAGACTTGTAAATGATGACATGTGGGAAGTGGAAGAGGAAGCAGGGCAGACCAGAGGCCCCTGAAATGTAGACACTAGGCTAATATGCGGATGGTGATCAGTTTTTTTCAATTTTTTAAATTTATTTAATGAGACAGGGTCTCTGTCACCCAGGCTGAAGTGCAGTGATGTGATCATAGCTCATTGCAGCCTAGACCTCCTGGGCTCAAGCTATCCTCCCACCACAGCCTCCTGAGTAGCTGGGACTGCAGGTATAGCCACCATGCCTGGCTAACTTTTTTTTCTTTTTGCAGAGATAGGGTCTTGCTTTGTGGCCCAGGCTGGTTTCAAACTCAAGGGATCCCCCTGCTTCAGCCTCTCAAAGTGCTGGGATTAGAAGTGTGAGCCACCATACCCAGCCCAATGGTGACTGTTTAAAATGACGCTGTTCCACGGTGAAGAAGTAGCAAACACACAATGAAAGTAACACTGATGTCCTTTTAGACATGTTGAGTCTAGAAAAGGTGTTACATCCATGCTAGGTCAGGCCTAGCAGGCAGAAGAATTTCAAAAGTTCTCCTGGCAAGGAAAATGAAGCCTGCCTTTCTAAAACTTCCACTGTTTAATTCTTTCTTTCACACAATAGTCTTTTTCTAATTTTTAATTTTTGTGGATACATAGTAGGTATATACATTCACATAATAGTCTTTAAATATGTGAAAACAGTTTTGGTGGACACGAAAAATTTCTCTTGATTTTGTTTTTCGCTCTCTCAGGCTAAGTATTTCCATTTTCTTTAACTCTTCCTTAGATAAAGGATTTAATTCATTAACCACATTGAAAATAACCATAAGGTTGAATGACCACTTGCTACAGATTTATAAAAGGTATTCACATAATGTTTGGTTGAGTTAGGTCGATGACTTTCAAATATTTTTTCCATGATCAAAGTAAGAAATATATTTCACAAAACCACCCAGTAAAGAAGTACCTGTGTGGGAGTGTGTGTGTAAACTCACACTAATGTCACCCTCACTATGAGATGCACTCTGATAATTTGTATCTTCTCTAATTCATTTTTTAAATTAGCTGGTTGCCTCCACCTACGTCAGTTTAAAAATCTATAAATGGAGCACACCCCACAGTTTGAAAGGATTTTTCAAATTTTTCAGATTTTTCAAATCTCCTACTCAGGAGGCTGTGGTGGGAGGATAGCTTGAGCCCAGGAGGTCTAGGCTGCAATGAGCTATGATCACATCACTGCACTTCAGCCTGGGTGACAGAGACCCTGTCTCATTAAATAAATTTAAAAAATTTAAAAAACTTCACAGTTTGAAGTTCACAAGGAAGGAGTAGGTGTTGATTTGAATGGACTCTGATCAGCTGCCTTAAAGGTTAACAGCGTCATTGACCTATTCTCTTCTCTTTCACTCTATGTGTTAAGTAGACCGCTGTCCTGGAGTCTATCCCCATATTCTCCTCCAGACTCACCTGAGTCAACAGATTCCAAGAATTAGATTCATTAGAGAAAGTAGGAAGCCCTACTTAGGGCTTGGCCCTAAATTTATATTCTCCAGCTAAGCTTTACCAGGATGGTATGCACAGCAATACAAGACCCCTGGTAGCCAGGCATGGTGGCTCACACCTGTAATCCCAACACTTTGGGAGGCCGAGGCGGGCGGATCACAAGGTCAGGAGATCGAGACCATCCTGGCTAACACAGTGAAACCCCATCTATAAAAAAAAACACAAAAAATTAGCTGGGTGTGGTAGCGGGTGCCTGTAGTCCCAGCTACTCGGGAGGCTGAGGCAGAAGATTGGCGTGAACCTGGGAGGCGGAGCTTGCAGTGAGCCAAGATTGCACCACTGCACTCCAGCCTGGGTGACAGAGCAAGACTCCATCTCAAAAAAAAAAAAAAAAAAAGAAGACCCCTGGCTATTCATAAAGTCAGATTCTAATTTTGTAAGATATTCTTACAAAGGAAACCCTTGGTTTTTTACAGAGTTGGGGAAGGAGTAGGGTGAGCACTAAGGCAGAAAATAGACACTCCTGAGGCTCTGGCTGTAATACAATTGCAATAGCACAAAAATCTCTTCTAGAATCACTCATGTAAACACAACATCATTTTCCTTCATGTGGGTGTAGGATCTGCAACATATTCCTATTATCATATCACTTCTGCTTCTCTCCTTTCAGGTTACCTAATGGTGCCACAGGCTTGTCTACATCTGCAGCACAGCTCAATATTTACTTGATATCATGAGTTACTTCATATCACTTTCTCATAGACCAATATCTCCAAGTCCTAGACCAGTGCTGTCTAACAGAACTCTCTGCAATAATACACATGTTCCATATTTGTGCTGCCAAATTTGGCAGCCATTAGCCACATGTGGCTACCGAGCACTTGAAATGTTGCAAATATGACTGAGGAAGTGGATTTTTATTTCATTTTAATTCATTTAAACAATAATTTAAATAGCCATGTGTGGCTAGTAGCTACCATATTGGCACCCTAATTCTTGACAAGGAGTCAGGAAACCTAAAGGATCAGATAGTAAATATTTTAAGCTTTGTGGGGTACACAGTCTCTGTGGCAACTAGCTGATTCCGCCACAGTGGCATGAAAGCAGCCACAGACAATCCAGGAATGAATGGGCACCACTGTGTTTCAGTAAAACTTTATTTACAGAAATGAGTAGCAGGACCAATTTAGCCTGAGGGCCAGAGCTTGCCAACCCCTGTTCCAGGCTGTCACAACTCGGGGATATAGCTATTGTATTACACTAATTTACTGAACTTAACAGGTTTATCGCCTAATTTTTAACCCATATTCCATATATTGACATATATTCACAGGAGGTGAAGGGTATTTATCAAAGATCCTATTATCTTTGCTTTTTTTTATTTTCATTTAGTTCTTATGTTTAGATCTGTAATGGGTACAGGTGCAGAGTTCTCACATGCATGTATGTGTAGTGGTGAAGTCTGGGCTTTCAACGTACCCATCATCTGAATAGTGAACTGTGCTCCACACCCTATTTTTATAGTGAATTACTAGGCAATACCTCCACTTAAAAGTTTCTTTCTAATGTTCTCAGCAGTCATCAGTTGTACACTCCGGGCCTCTTCACTTTAAAATCCTTACTCACAAGACTGGCAGGTGTCCGGACAAATACATTCTTCCCAATCTCCCTAAGACGCAATGAGTCTAAAGCCAAAAATACCTGATTCTGGCCATAGTATAAAAACCCCACCTATTCTTCAGCATGATCCCTGTAGTCAGTTTTTCTCATCCCATGCCTTGTTTTCACTCCCAAGGTCCCACCTTAAATGGTGAAAGAAAGGAACACACTTCTTGTGTGCCCTAGTCCTTCAAGCTCTGCCTCGATACATCACAGATGATAGAAGAGGTTTCCAGATCTCTTTCAGCAATACCCTCTACCATACAGGAATTAACTGGGATGGGTCATGGCCAAGGGGCTTGGCAAGCTCATCTCACTGACTCTCCATCCAGGTACTCTTCCCTGGAAGACCAAGCACCCTCTTTCTGACTGGTCATCCAGGGTCTACATGTGACGACCTGCAGATCTCCCTCAATAACGTGCCCTTCACATAAAGACAAGTCTCTTCTTTCTGGAGCTAGTTATGCTTTTTCTCACAACTGCTTCTCCTTGTGCACATCTCCCTTGAGAATTTTTCACTTACCATTAAGATGAAGATTCTCTAGGGTAAACATATCAGCTATAATAGATCTGCAATACCAAAAACGCTGAGAAACATCAGTAAACGACAGAGCTGCAGATGAGGATCATCCAGGCAGCATGGCCACGTGCTGGGTCTGAGTCTTACTAACCCTGCACCTGAAGCACACCTGGTCCTCAGCAATCTCCTCTCTGAATCAGGCTGACCTCTCAGTCTCTGGGTGTTTATGCAGATTAGATAAAATAATAGTTAAAGACATATGACAGTATTAAGACCTCAATAAATGCTAGCTCCTTTTCCTTTCTCCCTATGTTAATGAAAATAAGTGACTTTAAACAAGAATTTTTTAAAAGGTCACAAAATATAATTATGGAAAGGAATTAGGACCAAAATATTATTTTGCATGATCCTTTGTGCCCCATAATGACACACTTTATTTTCAGTAAATTTAGTAAAATATGATAACTTGACCTTCACCAAAATAAAATTTCAAGTGACTCAATTTAATTATTCTGGCAGTATATTTTAACACGGATTTTAGACCTTTCACATACTTTGTGGACTGTCACTTTATATCAGTGAAGTGTAAAGCGGAAATGTTAGAGGCCATCTCAGTTTGACGACACTAGCAGAATCTCAGATTGGATCCACTTACTTTGACATGAAAGCGCCACATCTTATTCTTGCATCGCTCCCCTCAGGGAACAGCAGCTCTGGACTGTACAATACATCAACCAACACTGAGAATTCAGCCTGCATCATTGGGCTGAACTGGTGCTCCAAGGAGGCCACCACATCCTAGGGAATGAAACACAGGAGAACCCAGGTGAAGGCCTAAGTCAGATTTCATCTTTCGAAGATAAGACAAGCCTAAGAATACTAATGGGAATTTTATAGATTACCCCCTCTATTCCATAGCACCACATGTCTGTGCCATGATTATAGCCTGGTTTTATGTATGAATACTGCCTGAGTCTATTTGTGCATGTGGGTGTGTGTGTGTGCGTGTGTGTGTGTCATTTACAAGATAAGGGAGGGACAGGTAGTTATTTCTAAGGATATACACCTATAAGAGGAAAAGTCAGGCCACTGTATGTGCCCTGCAGTGCCTAGGATTATAATGGAAACATGACAGGTACTCATTACATTGCAATAAATTAGGGGCATACCCAGGGAACAGCTTTAAAAAAAAAAAAAAAAAAAAAAAAAAAGATTTCCAGCCAGGTGCAGTGCCTCATGCATGTAATCCCAGTACTTTGGGAGGCCGAGGCAGGTGGATTGCATGAGGCCAGGATTTGGGGACCAGCCTGGTCAACATGGTGAAACCCTGTCTCTACTAAAAATACAAAAATCAGCTAGGCTTGGTGGTGTGCACCTGTGGTCCCAGCTACTCAGGAGGCTAAGGTGGGAGAATCATCTGAGCCTAGGAGGCGGAGGTTGCAGTGACCCAAGATAGCGCCATTGCACTCCAGCCTGGGTAACACAGTGAAAACCTATCTCAAATAAATAAATAAATAAATAAATAAATAAATAAATAAATAAACTCCCATAGGTCATTGGTTATTCAAAACGAATCATTTCATCCAATGGGGAAACTCATTGAAATATTATTTGAAGCAATATTAGTACTATACATGGATTCAATGACATTCAACAGAATTTCAAATTATATTTTTTGAGAGACCCTATTGGTCACCTACCCAACAGCTTTTCTTCACCCTCTTCTTTGCTACCGGAATCTCAATGTCATTTCTGAGTCAGGCAACAACATTCTCAGGGGATGAGCCCCCTCAGCTTACGGTCGAGGTTGATTACTCTAAGGCAGGCAGGCATGGTTATCCCATTTCCACCTCTAGCAAGCTGTCTAGGCATGATTATGTGACACAGTCCCAGTCAATGAGACATCAGGTGAAGTCAGCTGAGAGAGTGGGGTACGTGTTGCGGGTGGGGAGGTTCTTTCATAACCACCTACTGCTCTCAAGGCAGCTTGAGGGTGTGAATCCAAAATCTAAGACAGCCCTCATGTTACCCTGGGAGACCAGCATTAAGCTGAATGCCTACAGACCTTTGGTTTTAGGGACCCAGGCCTACAATTAGCAAACTCAAGGAGAGCCACAGTTCCAGGTTTCTTGCTATGTTAAATGATATGGTCTTTATTATTTAAGTCACTTTTAGTTGAGTGCTGTGTTAATTAAAGCTGAAAGCATCTTAACTGATATGTTTCTAAAATGAACCACAGGTAATTATAATTTCCCAAACATTCTTTAATGGTTAAAGCACCCCCATTTTATTTTTAAACTATGTTAGAAGAAAAAAAAAAACTTCTTACATAAAAGAACAATTTATTCACCCATAGCTATGGTGTATTTTTATTAAGCAGAACATTGCCAATTGCTTATTGTCACTCTTAGCTACAGAAGCACAGATGGGGATGTCACCCTCTTGATTTCTTAAGAATTATGTTAATTTGTGTTTTAACTCTTTCTGCAAAAGTGATTATTTCTACTTCAACCACTCTAAATAAGCTTTCTGAGAAATGTCTGAAAACCATTAAAAGAGACTAAAGGGAAATAGCATAAAGGGGAAAACTAGATATTATATAAAAGTGGGGAGAGTATGTTTATCAAATATGACCATATTTAATTAAATGTCCCTGTTGTTTAGATTACCTCTTCTTTGTTTCATCTACTAAAGAAATAGCGCTCAGGCTGCTATGATATGAATTCTGTCTTTAACTCTAATTTTGGTCATGAGGCAACTATGCAACCTCCCTAGGTCATTGTTTCCCCATGTGAAAGCTTAGGATGATACTAACAATCACAAGAGCTTGCTGCAAGGATTAAAGGTAAGTGCATAGAACATCCTCTAACACACACTAGCCACTTATTCCCTATAAATACTAGTAATCTTTACTATTGAGCACGAGTTAGCTGTGATCATCACCCAAACTTGGTGGTTTACTTGCTTGTCTTCATCTTAATCACTGCTAAGCATTTTACACGCTGGTTTCTGCTCTTTGAAACACTTTCTGCTCTTGACGTCTATGACATCACACTTTATTTTCCACCTATGTCCTTACTATTTCTTCATCAACTCCTGATAGCTTCTGCTCCTTTTCTCTTTGATATCTACACTTTCTTCTGAAAAATCTTGTCCAATTCTATGGTTTTAATATCATCTATATGTTGGAACTCCCACATTTATATTTCCAGCATGGACATCTTTCCACTTCAGACTCATATATCAAACAGCCAAGCTGACACACTCAGGTACCTAAATAGGCATCTCAACTTTAAAATTCCCCAAATAGAACTCCTAATTTCAACTCAGCCCCAACCTCTTTCTCTCCCATTACTTCCTATCTTAGTAAATAACACAACCATATCATATCAAAACCAGAGTCATCCTTGATACTTCTTTCCATTATCCTACAACACATCAATTGATTCCTCCACCAAGTTCTATTAGTTCTACAACTAAATATATACAAAATTAATACACTTCTCTGCATTACTATTGCAACCTCCTTAAGCCAAGCTACCATCACCTTTTGCCTGAATTAATGCAAAGCTACATAACTAGATTCACTGCTTCGACGTCTGGATCTTAGAAATACACTTAGAATTCACAGTGATCTTTTAAAAAGTAAACCAAGTCAGCCCCTCCTCTGCTGAAAATCTTCAATGACTTGTCATCACACATAGAATACAATTAAAATGCCTTAATATGCGCCTTAATCTGTTCAGGCTGCTATAACAAAATACCATAAACTGAGTAGCTTATAAGCAACAGAAATTATTTCTTGTAGTTCTGGAGGCTGGGAAGTCCAAGATCAGGCACCAGCAGATTTGTTGTCTAGTGAGGACGCACTTTCTGGCTCATAGACGGTGCCTCTCTTGCTGTGTCCTCACATGGTGGAAGGGCTGAAAGAGTTTGCATGGGCCTATTTTATAGGGACTCTAATCTCAACTTCCAGAAGACCTCACCTCCTAATACTATCACCACGGGGGTCAGAATTTCAGCATATGAATTTGGGGTGGGGGAGGACACAAACACTCAGGGCACAGCCACAGCACCATACAAGTCTCTACATGATTTGGCCCCTTATCCCATAATATTTTCTTCCTTTACTCACTAAACTCCTGCCCCAATGGGCTTTCCTTGGATCTTCAAACCCATCAGCCTCACTCCTGCCTAAGCACCTTTGCATTTCCTATTTCCTTCCCATAAAACTATCTGAACTCAAATCTTGGAATAGATTATTCATCTTCATTATTCAGGTGTCAACAAAACTGTTATCCTGGTAGAAATGAACTTCACAATTACAGGGTCATTCTTTCAGTAATTCTCCACCATGTTGTTACTTTGCTCTATTTTATTCACTGTAGTTTTAATTATCCAACAATTTATCAATTATTTAATGAGTTAAAATGCATGTCCCAGAAGAGCATAGACCCCATGGCTCTCTCTTTAGCACTTCACACAGTGGCTAGTATAGAATTTTCACTAAATAAATACTTACTTAATGGATATCAATCTATCAAAAGAAGTTTACTAAAAGAAGTTTAAGGCACACCCTCTCTGTGCTGGTTGACACTACTATATACCTCTCCTCTGAAATGTTCCACTCCCTTTGCTCTCCTGACCCTTCTCCTCTCTGACGTGCTTTTTTTTCCCCCACTCTTTATGTGGGCCATTCTGCTACTCTTAGCCTCGCATAGGGTGTTCTTTTTTTCTCTCACTGTATTTTCTCTTTTAGCAATACCAACCACTATCCTTGCTCCAACTATTATCTTCAAACATAGACTTAACTTCCAATATACTCAGTAGCCTGCTACCCTAGTTCACTGCATTTTCCATTGCCCTCCTATTGCGTTCTCTTCTCCTCTGCTCTTACAACAAACAGTCTTAATAATACTATCAAGTCTCCAATCAACAGGGCCTCTTAAACTCCTCTCATGCCCGCTCTCTACTTCCATCTAAGAGCCTCTAGGTCTGCTGACCCTGCCTTCATTATTATCTGTAACACTCATTTCTTCATTTCATCCATATCACCACTTGGCTTAGATCTTAAGTAACTTCTCACTAGTCTCTCTTCCTCTAGTCTCTTTTTGATAACCCTATCCTACAAATCAAGAACCACTTATAATGGCATTTTCCCCCAAATTTTTAATGTCTCACACCCTTTAGGTTTCTCATACTCTCTGAATATAACTTGTGTTTCTAACCCCATATAACACTCATCTACATGTGACTTCTCATAATATTTATTTCAGTTAATGTCTTGGCCATTTTGTAGGAAAAAAAAAAACTTCAAACTATATCCCAATTCAACTCCATGTAATGTGCCACTATTATGTGAATGGGAAGATGTCTGTTATGGGCTGTATTATAACTCCCCAAGATTTCGTATGTTGAAGGCCTAACTCACAGTACCTCAGAATGTGACTCTATTTAGAGCTAGGGCTTTCAAAAGTGTAATTAAGAAAAAATGAGTTCATATGAGCGGCCCTAATCCAACATAACTGGTATCCTTATAAGAAGAAGGGATTAGGACACAGACATGTGCAAACACAGAGGAAAGAGCCTATGAGGACACAGCAGGAAGTCAGCCATCGCCAGGCCCAGGAGAGAAGCCTCAGGAGAAAGCATACCTGCTGATACCTTGATCTTGGACTTCTAGCCTCCAAAACTATGAGAAAATAAACTGCTGTTGTTTAAACCACCAAGTCTGTGACATTCTGCAACAGCAGCCCTGGCAAACTAATATAATTTCCAGGCCAAAATCAAGAGTGAGATACTATACAAGTCATTTGGGAGCAAGGTGCTTGGATCATTCTGACCAAAGGATTAGAAGGGAATACTGAAACATAAGTTGAAGCAAGGCTATGAATATTGAGTTTCTTTACCAGTGTTATCATTGGTATTATGATTATTATTTTGGTATTAAGCCCTACTATTCATTACCATACTATCAAAACACAGTAATTAATATACACTTATTAAAAAGTAGCTCACAACATATGTAAGTTATGTGTTTAAAAAGAGCAGTAGTAGTAGACAGTTGTAAAGCAAGGCCTGGTCCCCAAATAGAACTTGATATTTTTAGCCATATTTTATTTATGTGACTACATATTTTAAAAAATGTAATTTAGAAAATATGAATGCTATTTCATGCTCTCATGTACCTGTAACTTTTCAATAATATTTCTGTAATCCCAAGAAGGCCCTCCAAGAGCTTCCTTAAAGCGTGGCCCAGAGCGAGCTGATAGTCTCCAACCCATTGCTGCTCTCTGCACCATATTTGAATGGCTTTTCATGAAAAGAGTATTAACTTGGCCGTCCAAATCCACTGGAATGGCAATTCCACGATTTTTTGCTGAAAAAGAAAGATTTAAAATATTTCCCTCTTAATTTGACTAAAGTTTCTTACACATTATCCATACAATCTTATAAACATAAAGGAAATAATATTAAATCTTTAAACTCTGCCATTAACTTGTTTTATATAACTATAAAAGCTTCTAACCTGAATGTATTTCAATTATTAAGACCAATTAGTGAAGTGGGTACATGAAACATTCAAGAACTTATTTGATTTCTTAATGATTCATGCTTGAAATGTACTTTATACAGCATCAATACAGAAAAACGCTGTATAACAACCAGCATATTTGTACCTTCCCAGATGCCAACATAAATAAGAAAGCAGACATAAAACACATGATATAATTCTTCCACTCCATTCATTAATTTAAGTAGTGCTTGTGTGCACACAAAATTGTACGTGATGAAACATCTGAGAATAGAAATAAAAAGTTGAAGAGTGTAAAAAATCTGCATTGGAAGAGGGCACATCTTAATATGTGTCTTTCTTCCCAAGATCCACGGAAATTTATATTTTAACAAGTTTACATCACATCAATACTGAAAATTGAGAATGCCTGTCACAAAGAAAGGAGTAATGTTGAAGCATTTTTGCAAGGCAAAATGAAGATGGGATTAGTCCATCAGAGAAAGAAGAGAAGAAACTGCCCCACAGGAGATTAGAGTTAGAAAAGGTCTTTCCAGGTGCACAGTCAACCAAAACAAAGGGTTGGGCAGGGATATGGGCAACTGATTAAAGAATAACAGCTGAACAGCTGGGAAGCTAAGGCCCTCCTCCCTCTGATTGGCATAGACAGAGCAGTTGGCAGAAGCAGTTTTTACCCAGAGGATAAAGTCAGAGAAATGAAGAAATGTTCTCTCAAGAAAGTAGAATACCTGACTGGACAGAATGCCAAATGAAGACGTTAGAACTTGATAGAGAAGCAGAATGGAGCTTGAAATAACGCCAGAGATCATCAAGTAAGAGGTAAAATGTGGGCCAGGCGAGGTGGCTCACGCAGGTAATCCCAGCACTCTGGGAGGCGAAGGCGGGCGGATCACGAGGTCAGGAGATCGAGACCATCCTGGACAACATACTACTAAAAATACAAAAATTAACCGGGTGTGGTGGTGCGTGCCTGTAATCCCAGCTACTCAGGAAGCTGAGGCAGGAGAATTGCTTAAACCCAGTAGGCGGAGGTTGTACGCCACTGCACTGCAGCCTGGCGACAGAGCTAGATTCCATCTCAAAAAAAAAAAAAAAAAAGATGTAGAATGTGGGGAGACAGAAGAAGCAGCACCAGCAGAGAGAGGAAATAAATTAAATTCTCCAACTCCTGAGCAAAGCCCTCCTTACTTTAACACTTACTGGTGTTCCCAGCCTGACCTCTGCTATACACACACATGCATATATGCATGCACGTGCACACACACACACATACACAGCCTAAAGGAAAGTCTGCATGTCATTTGGTCAGCCTTTGGCCTCTCATACAGAATTCCAGGTCAGCCCTGTCATTTACACAAGAATTCTAGGAAGGAAACAGGCCTTTAAAACTGCAGTGGAAACCTATGCCAGTCATTACGGACTTTCCTAACTACAAACACACCACCAAGGATCACAAGGAAAACCAATACCATTAAGAATAACTAATCCTAGTGAAAACAGGGATGACTCAAGGAAAAGCAAAAAATATTTAAATAATCCTAAGTGTTGTCCTCAGAGAATCTGAGAACATACTGCATCCAAAAAATTAGAAAGTCAGAAAGAAGAATGACGTCTTAGAAATTAAAATGTGATTGCATACATAAACATGTCAAAAACTGGCTGAAAAATAATTGATAGAAACATAGTTGGCAATCTGGAAAGGAAGTCAAGGAATCTTCTAAAAATTAAGCATAAAATATAAAAATGGAGAATAAAACAGAGAGATTGCGAAATAAAGAGGGTCAACCCAGGAATTTAAACATCTAACAAATATAAGTTCCAGAAAGAAACAGCAAATACAATGTGAGAGAAGAAATTATTAAGAAAACAATAGAAGACAACTTCCTTGAGCTTAAGACACATGTACATCTCCAAATTGAAAAGGTCCACAACATGTTAAACAGGATTAAGTAAGTATATTGGCCATATTCTGGTAGAACTTCAGAATGCTGTTGTGGGTTGAACTGCATCCCCAAAAAGTATATGTTGAAGTATTAATCATCACTCCCTCTGACTGTGACCTTATTTGGAAATAGGGTCTTTGCAGATGTAATCAAGTTAAGTTGAGGTCATACTGAATCACGGCGGGCCCCAATCCAATTCAACTGGTGTCCTCATAAGAAGGGAAGGAGAGACACAGAGAAATACCTGAGGGACACACACGATGTGAAGATGGAGGCAGAGACTGGATTTACGCAGCTGCAAGCCAAAGAATGCCAAAGACTGTTAGCAAACCCCAGAAGCTAAGAGAAAGGCATAGAACGAATTCTTCCCTGGAGCCTTCAGAGAGAGCATGGTGCTGATGACACCTTGATTCTACACTCCTAGTCTCCAAATTATGAGAAGGTAAAATTTCTGTTGTTTTGAGCTACACAGTTACGCTAATTTACAGCCAGCTGTAGAAACTACACTAATGTTGACAGTATGGAGAAAATCTCAAGTACTTCCAGAGAAAAAAGATGATTCCTAAAAAGAATCTGACCAGCATCAGACTTATCATCAGCATTGAATGCTAAAAGATAGAATACCTTTATAGATGAAAAATTTTGAAGAAAGGACTTTATGTCCATCTAAACTAAAAATCAAATGTAATTCCCAAACAAAAACATTAGAAAAATATGTAAAGGCTCAGAAATTCTTCAATGAATTCACCATGAAAAAATTTTAAAAAGAGCAAATAGTTTTTAAATGTCTACATGGATATGAGAAACTATGGCAACTAAGTATGAAGCTAAAGAAGAAAATAAAGTTAGAAACAAATGAAAAAAGATCCATGAGCTATTTCCATGGTTAGGAAATTCTCTTCTACTTGGAAAAGTTTTAATATCATAGTGCTACATTTTTGTCCTAAATGGTTACAGCAGAGCTATAAAGATCATATTTAAAGTTATAATGATAGTCCCCAGAAGGCTTACTTATTTTAGAAGGAAGAGATAGAAAAATTGGATGGATAGACAGATAGATAGATAGATAGATAGATAGATAGATAGATAGATAGATAGACAGACAGACAGACAGATAGATAATCTGGCTTGCTTCACATGATGAAAGGAAAGCAAACAGTAGATAATATTACCAGCTGGTGAAAATTCTCTGAAGCTTAAAGATACTCAAAAACTTGTTTGAAAATAGACAATTTGCTGGATGCAGTGGTAGCCTCAGCTATTCAGGAGGCTGAGTCAGGTGGATCACTTGAGTCCGGGAGTTTGAGGCTGTAGTGCACTATGATATGAATAGCCACTGCATCTAGCCTGGGCAACACAGCAAAACCCTGTCTCTAAAAAAGAAAGAAGAGAAGAGAGGGGAGAGGGAAGAGGGAGAAGAGAGAGGGGAGAGGGAAGAGGGGAGAGGGGAGGGGAGGGGAGGAGAGGAAAGGGGAGGGGAGAGAAGGGGAGAAGAAGAGGAAAGGAGAAGGATAGGAAAGAGAGAGGAGGAGAAGAGGGATAGTAGCAGGAGAGGGAGAGGAGGAGGAGAGGGACAGGAGGAGGAGAGGGAAAGGAGGAGGAGAGAGAGAGGAGAAGGAGAGGAGAGGAGAAGGAGAGGAAAGTGGAGAGGTGAGAGGAGAGGGGAGGAGAGAAGAGGGAGAGGGAGAGGAGAAGGAGAGGAGAAGAGAAGGAGGAGGAAAGAGGAAAGGTGAGAAAAGAGGACAGGGAGACGGAGGGGAGAGGGAGAGGACAGGAAGATGGAGAGGAGAGGGAGAGCGAGAGGAGGAGGAGAAGGGGAAGGAGGAGGGAAGAAGAGGTGAGGAGAGGAGAGAAGAGAGGAGGGAGGAGAGGAGGAGAGGGGAGAGGGAGGGGAAAGGAGGGGAGAGAAGAAGGAGAGAAGGAGGGAGAGGAGAGAAGAGGAGAGGAGAGGAGAGGAGAGGAGAGGAGAGGAGGGGAAAGGAGAGGGAGAGAAGAAGGAGAGGAGAAGGAGGAGGAGAGGAGAGGAGAGGGAGAGAAGAAGGAGAGGAGAAGGAGGAGGAGAAGGAGGAGGAGAGGAGAGGGAAGGGGAGGGGTGGGGTGGGGAGGGGAGGGAGAGGAGAAGGAAAAGAGAAGGAGAGGAAAGAGGAGAGGAGAGGAAAAGAGAGGAGAGGAGGGGAGAGGAGAGGAGGAGGAGGGAGAGGAGGAGGAGGAGGAAGGAGTGGAGGAGGAGGAGGGAATGGAGGAGGATGAGGAGAGGAAAGAGGAGAAGGATAAGGAGAACAGGAGAGGAGAGGAAAAGGAAAGGAAAAGAAAGGAAGAAAGAAAATACATAATTTTCACTAGCCACACCAAAAACATGTACCAATTTAGATAAAAACTCACGCCGCAGTTTTATAGAAATAGTAACAGCTACAAGGCAAACTTAAACAATCAATTTCACCACTGTTTAAATTTCCCTACTAAATGTTTTCCTAATATTCATGATAAGCTTCTCTTTCCCAAGCATGCAATACCTCTGTTTATGTCCTTCACACACAGCAGTGCAATTGCACTTCTGTCTCATCTGAAGGACAGACGGCCTCAACTCTGCCAAGCGGCGCATAGTTTTATAAATACTTAATCCTGCACCATGATCAAATCCTGGCAAGATTTTCATCCTTTTCTGGCTGCTTCACACATAAACTGGGTTTGCTCTAAACATTCAAAAATCAAACAGAAGACAATACTACTTCTATGTTATTTTCTAAGCAACAAAAATAACAAAAATTATAAACTTCAGTGTTTCTCAAAACATGTTACAAAACAAGTTTCCACTGACATTTAAACAAATTGGGGAGGAGATTGGGATTTATCTGCCCTTCAGGAATCAGGTACATTAGGTGAAATTGACCATCAAATAAG